TTAATCCCCTTGCATATCACCCATCCCAACCCTTATCTTCCCTTCTGACTACTACCAGTTTCTTCTCTGTATTTTTTAGTTATTTATTTTTTTCGATTCCGCATATAAATGAAATTTTTGTCTGATTAAGTTCACATAGCATAACACTTTCAGGATTCATCCATGTTGTAACAGACTGCAAGATTTCATTCCTTTTTATGGCTGAGAAGTATTCCATTGTATATATACCTATTCCACATCTTTTTTTTTATCCATTCAGTCACTGAGGGACACTAGGTTGTTTCTCTATCTTGGCTGTTGTAAATAATACTGTGATGAAGATAGGGTGCATATATCTTTTCGATTTAACATTTTCCTTTTCTTCAGATGAATATCCAAAAGCAGAGTTGCTGGATAGTTCTATTTTTAATTTTTTGAGGAACCTCCATACTGTTTTCCATAGCAGCTGCACCAATTGACATTCCCACTAACAGTGCACAAGGGTTCCATTTTCTCCACATCCTCACCAACATTTGTTATTTTTTGGTTATTTGTTAACACCCTTTGTGACACATATGCAGTGATATCCCATTGTGTTTGATTTTACATTTCCCTGATGATTAGTGGCATTGAGTATCTTTTCATGTGCCTGTTGACCATCAGTATGTCTTTTTTGGAAAAATGTCTCTTCAATTCCTCTACCCATTTTTAGATCATATTATTGGTTTTTACTGTTGAGTTATAGGAGTTCTTTATATTTTTTGGATATTTACTTCTTATTGGGTATATGATTTGCAACCGTTTTCTCCCGTTCTGTAGGTTGCCTTTCCATTTTGTTTGCAAGCAAAAGCTTTTTAGGTTGGTGTATCTCCCACTTGTTTATTTTTGCTTTTGTTGCCTTTGCTTATAAAGTTAGATCCAAAAATCAGGGGCTCAGTTGGTTAAGCATTTGACTTTGGCTCAGGTCCTGATCTTGGGGTCCTGGGATTGAGCCCCAGGCCCAGCTCCTTGCTCAGAGGGAGTCTGCTTCTCCCACTCCTTCTGCCCCTTCCCCAGCTTGTGGGCACAGTCTCTCTCTCTCTCCCTCTATCAAATAAATAAATAGATAGATAAATAAATAAACTTTAAAAAAAATAAAGTTAGATCCAAAAATTCAGTGCAAAGACTGGCATCAAGGAGTTGACCACCTGTTTTCTTCTAGTATTATAATTCCCAGGTTTTGCATTTAAGTCTCTAATCCATTTTCAATTAATTTTTGTGTGTGGTATAAGATAGTGTGGTTTTATTCTTTTGAATATGGCTGTCCAGTTTTCCTAACACTACTTATTGAAGAGACTGTCTTTTCCCCGTTGTATATTTTCATCTCCTTTTTTATAAATCAGTGGACTATATAGGCATGAGTTTTATTTCCGAACTCTATTTTGTTTTATTGTTTTTATGCCAGTATCATTTTATTTTGATTACTGTAGCTTTGTAATATAGTTTGAAATCAGGTTCCAGCTTTGTTCTTTCTCAAGATTGCTTTTAGGTTCCGTACAAGTTTTAGAATTGTTTGTTCTATTTCTTTGAAAAATACCAATAGAGTTTTGATAGAGATTGCATTGAATCTGTAGATTGTTTTGTGGCAGCATAGACATTTTAATAATATTAATTCTTTCAATTGAGTATGGTATATCCCTTTACTTGTTTATTTTTCAGTTTCTTTCATCAGTGTCTTACAGTTTTCAGTGTATTGGTCTTTCACCTCCTTGCTTAAATTTATTCCTGAGTATTTTATTCGTTTTGATGCAGTTATAAAGTGAGTTTTTTAAAATTTCTCTTTCTGATAGCTTATTGCTAATGTATAGAAACAGAACAGATTTTATATATTGATTTTGTGTCTTGCAACTTTATTGAATCCATTTATTAGTTATAGCGTTTTGGTGGAGTCTTTAGGGTTTTCTATATTTAACATCCTGTCATCCACAAAAAGTGACAATTTTACTTCTTTCCTTTCCATTTTGGGTGCACTTTCTTTTTCTTGCCTAATCGTTCTGGCTAGGATTGCCAGTACTGTGTTGAATACAAGTCGTGAGAGGACGCATCCTTGATTCTTGATCTCAGAGGAAAAGCTTTGAGCTTTTCACCATTCAGTATGATGTTAGCTGTGGGGTGAATCTTTGTTAATATCCAGAACTACACCCTTATTTTATAAGATAGATAAATTAAATGGAAGTGGGTTTTTTGTTTGTTTGTAATGCTTCAGAAATGTAGGATGCCACTTTTTTTTAAGTACTGACTTCATGTTATATCCTTGATTTAAAACCTATGAGAGCAATAGTATTTTCTGAGGCTTCTTGCCAGATTATATTCATGTAAAATATGAACATTGAGCAGCTTAAGATGAACTATGCCTGCAACCTCATTTTTAGAATCTAAGTTGCTAAAGTACAGACATAATCACCTATTTTGTATTAATTTTGAGGCTCCTTTGCATTCACCAAGATTTGTTTTACACCCAGTCTTATTTTTACCCTATATATTGCCTTTGTATTCTTCCCTTAATTTGTTTTAACCTGTTTGATGTAAAAAAAAAATCTGTGTGAAACAGTAAATTTGACAGAGTGTCTTCATAGTTTCTCTTTAAGTAGTGCTTTCTGTAGCCTCTCTCATGGGATGTATATCCATTAGGATTAGGTTTGGCAGCATATAACAAAAGTCTAACATATGTGGGGGTCAGTATGGAAATTGATTTTTCTCTCACAGTCCTCAAGTCTGTAATTAGGAAGTGCAGTGATAATAAGGAGTCTCACTGTATCAGCCGTTCAGGCATCTTCTGTCTTCCTTCCTGTTCCACTCTCCTTATCACATAGTTTCATGATCCCAGATGCCTGTTTGAGCTCCAGCTCTCATATCCAGACTCCAGGCAATAAAAGTGAAGAAGGGTGGGAGGGAACAACGGGGTCTTTGCTGGCTTAGTTTGATCATTCAAAGCAGTTTTTTCTTCCCAAAAGACAAAAAAACATTTCATTTTACATTTCATTAACCATGACAGGGCCATGTGGCCTCTGGGCTATATCCATTAGCAGGGAGCCTTGGAAGTATGTTGAGTATTCATTTCTCCCACAGTGTACCCAGCTAGATTCTGTTGGGTTCTGTTCACTGTGAAGGAAGGATGGGATGGATGTTGAGGTGAGCAACTAAGAGCTTCTTTACCTCACAGTTAGTGCAGAGTTTTTATAGCAACATAGGAGACATGGTGAGGTCTAGGTGGCTCAATATCTGGGTTCCAGTAGAATAATGGGAAACGATACTAAGGTATCTCTGCTCTGCCTGCTGATTTAAACTTACTTGATCTATAGTAACATCATTTTTGTGTTATTGTTACCAGATATATGCGCTAAGTACTTTTTATACCTTCTCTGTAATCCCTACAACACTTTTTAGTAGGGCACTGAATTTCATGCGGCAAATGAGAAGACCGAGGCCCAGAGAGATTGCATAACTTGTGGCGTTCTCATAACTGGTTAAGTGATGAGTCAGTTATTGATCCCACAGTTTAAGATCAGTATTGATAACTGCCTCTGTCCTCTTTATGCATCTGTCTACCCATATAGCTATTCACTGCTACCTCTGCCCCACTCCTTGCACATAAAAATTATTTGAGGTTGCCTAGACACACAGAAAACAACAAAACAAGAAGATAAGCAGATTGAAGGGAACATAATTATGAGAAAACCTGATGAGGCTTAGATAGAAGTGGTCCACAGAGCTGAATGCTCCATCGTCCCAGAGAGGTGCTGGAAGGCTGGGTCTGACTTGTGTTCTATCAGATACTAAAAGACAGGAAAACAAGCTTGAATTTTCTTCATTGGGACTCTGGGCATCTGCATTATTTTCATCATATAATAATTTGAATCCTTATAAAGAATACTGGTTTTTCATATTGCAGCTTCAATGACTCTTTAAAGGTCATTATAATGGTAATGTTAGTATTTTCCGGTTTTCTCTTTGCGTGTTAGTTAAGCTGAATTACTGTTACTTATTTTTTAAGAAGTGGAAACCAAGGACACTTGGATGGCTCAGTCACTTGAGCTTTGGACTCTTGGTTTGGGCTCAGGTCATGATCTCAGCGTTGTGAGATCGAGTCCCACATAGGCTCCGCACTGGGCGCAGAGTCTGCTTGAGACTCTCTGCCTCTCTGTCTCTCTGCCCCTCCCATGTGCGTGCTTGTGCACTGTCTCAAATAAATAAATAAATATAGAAACCTAGTCCAAGAGCATTTTTTAGCTGGATAAGGGTCGTATACTTAGTAAAAACTATGGCTCACTTTTGATTGTTTATAGAAATGCTCATATCATAGTTTTGAAAGGTACATTTTGGAAGACTGAAATCTTGACAAAAATTGTGTTGTGCTGTTTGCCAGAGCTCCTTGAAGACAAGATTTTGTCTTACTCGTTTTTATGCTCTGGTGTCCTCAGTGTATGGAAGATATTTGATAAGTGAATAATGAATGAATGACTGGTAAATGAGAAAAATCTGTTAACAAATATAATTAATCTTTCTCCTTTAAGCAGGTAAGCCAATTACCTAAAATAGAGGAAAAGTGGGTCTTTTTTTTTTTTTTTACCCTTGCAAGTTGTATGAGGTGGTTTATAGTACCATTAATGATTGGACATTGGGACCACAAAGTCCAGCCCTTGTACTTGGTATATTTGGAGAATTGCCATAACTGTGCTACATCTGAAACATAGTGGTTGTAAAGGCAAGGAGCAGGAGATGAGTCTGGTAGGCTCCTGGCATGTAAAATTTCCTTATTAATTGTAAGGAATACAAGTTAGTCCCAAATTTTCAAAGATTTTATATGACATGTTTGTTATCTTTTTAAAAATGACTTTAATGGGGAACAGAAGGGACATGATTTGTTTTGAGTAGCATTTAAAAAATAGATAATGTAATTTCCTATATTTTTATTTTCAGGATTATTTGTGAATAATAAATTAACAGAATATTTAATTACTTTATTTTGTTTTATTTCTCAGGATGTGATCTTCGTGGTGGGAAGCTAAGTTTTTAAACTACCCCAATGGATGCAGACAGTGATGTTGCATTGGACATTCTAATTACAAATGTAGTCTGTGTTTTTAGAACAAGATGCCATTTGAACTTAAGGAAGATTGCTTTGGAGGGAGCAAATGTAATTTATAAGCGTGACGTTGGAGTAAGTATCTAAATTTTGGTATGTATGCTACATAGACTAATTTTATAGTGCTATGAATCATATTCTAAAACATATTCTCTATACAAATAGTTTATGAGCACCTTACCATGTACCAGTTGTACTGAATACAACACTGAGCCTTGTAGAAGTGGCCCCTCCTCCCCTAAAGTGTCAGCTTTTGGATATTCCCCATCTCCAGGACTCAGCAAAGAATTCACAGGCTACTAGAATTTGATTGTTCTCTCAATTTCTTTTAAATGAAGAAGGAGGCATTTATACATGGTGTATACTTATTCAAATATAATTTTTTAAGGGCTGCTGGGTGGCACATTTGGTTAAGTGTCAGACTCTTGGTTTCAGCTCAGGTCATGATCTCAGGGTCTTGAGATTGAGCCCCACGTCAGCCTCTGCTCTCAGCTTGGAGTCAGCTTAAGTTCCTCTCTCCCTTTGGCCCTCCCCCCACTCTCTCTCACTTTCTCTCTCTCGAATAAATAAATCTTTAAAAATATTTGTATATATAGTTTCTTGGTTACATGAATGATGTATGATACGTATGATGCTGTAATATATATGTTGTGATTTTTGTAGTATATGTTAATACCCCTCTTTATTTAGCCAAAATAGTTGGTATTCTTTAGGAATAAATTGCTGAAAATAATATGGTTCTTATCCTAACCTGGACAGTATTAATTTTAGTTTTTGTTAGACCTGTACTATTTAAAATAGAAGCATTGATTACTCGCTTTTAACCTTACTGAGATTAATATTACAAAGGACAGTGTGTTCACTGGCTTTTATAAACCAAATGATGTTGAGATATAGATCTTATACATTTATTATGAAAACTATGAATGTATATGAAGGCTCTAAGCTCTAAAAATTCGATGCCAGTATACCTCAGTAAATTATCATTAGCTCTTAGTTCTAGAAACTAAGTTAAGATGAATTAAATTCAATTAAAAATTGCAGTGACCCACATTTAAAGATTTTCAAGTTCATCAGTCTTGCCATCGTCACCTAAATAAAGGAATGAAGATATCTGCTAAGAAGGTTAATAAAGTGCCTAATACTGCTTTGGAATTTGAGCATGCCATGTGATAGGGAAGTCATTTTTCGTAGGAGGTTAATTGAAAAAGCTGAATTGATGGATAAGGTGGTGGTGAAAGACAGTTAAATGCAGAATAAACTCAGTTTAGTGTTTCTCAGCCACTTGTGTATGAAATTTGATAATATCTTTTAATTCAAGTTTAATTTGGCTCTTTGTTAAATTTTATCCTTCCGGACATTATAGCTTTCTCGTTTGGTAATGTGACATATGACAGAGAAAGAGTGAAACTTGAAAAGTAACAGAAGTTTTAAGGAGAAATATCCAATTCATTTATATGTTACAGTATTCAGTAAACATTTATCTCTTATGCATTATGGGCATATGATATTTTCCATAAATGAAAAATAGTAATAAAAATTTAAATTCACATTGTTCTCTTGGACCTTAGTCCTTGACTGATTTATACTTACTCTGTAGATAATTTCATTCAAACCCACAGCCTTCAAATGCCTTTCATATCTAAGGAATCTAAACTTACATCTCTAGCTCCAACATTTGTCCTACGCTCAAGATTTGTATATTGAACTTGAATCTGTAGTAGTCATCTCCACTGTAAGATAATATAATGATGAGTACCGTGAAGCAGAATAAAGTAGGGTACGAGGTGAGAGCAGTGAGGGGATGGGTTGCTTTGTTGTTCAGGGAAGACCTCTCTATCTGACATCTGATGAGAGACTTGAATGAAAGTGAGAATATTGAGGGAAGACTATTCCAGATGAAAATATTAACAATTACTGCAAAACCCCTGAGGTTTGAATACGTTTGGCATCTTTAAGGATCCATGCAAATTGCAAATTCCAGTTACGTGGCCAGAGTGGAATGAGAGTTGAAAAGTTTGCATGCTTGTAGTACATTGATTTCAAGTATATAGTAAGAGGTTGATACAGACCTTGTATTTTTAATTAATTAAATGTCTTTTTTAATTAATATGTTCTTTGTGTTCAGTATTGTACTTAAATTCAGAATGGATGATTTGAAGAGCAATTACTTATTTCAGTCTTGGGTAAGCATCGAGTACTAGTTACACTTTTATTAAAATGGCCACATGGAGTAGGAGCGTAAGTGAAAATTAATGCTTAGTATGTAACCGTGTGTTTTATTTTGTTCTTTTGCAGAAGGTATTAATGAAGCTGAGAAAACCTAGAATTACAGCTACAATTTGGTCCTCAGGAAAAATTATTTGCACTGGAGCAACAAGGTAAATTTTAATTGGATTTCTTACTTTAACTTTAAAATTTTTCCTTCATGGAAAGGACATTTTCCTAGACTTAAAATCATGTGTACAGTTTGTCATATTTGTCAGTATAAAATTTATTTCCTGTGTAACTGATGATCTTTTTCTTTCCTTAAAACCATAGTGAAGAAGAAGCTAAATTTGGTGCCAGGCGTTTAGCCCGCAGTCTTCAGAAACTAGGTTTTCAGGTAACATTTTCAAAAAAACATCCAAACTACAAATATTAAAGGATTTAATTTATAGAGTTAAACTTTTTAATTTGATAGACTAAGGAAATCACACAGATGAGGACCTGGGCGGCTCAGTCAGTTAAGTGTCTGACTTTGGCTCTCTTTGTGATCTTAGGGTGCTGGGATTGAGCCCTGCCTCGGGGCTCCCTGCTTGGGGATGGCCTGCTTCTCCCTCTACCTCTGCCACTCCCCCTGATTGTGCATGCTCTCACTCTCCCCTCTCTCTCTCAAATAAATAAAAATTTTAAAGGGAAAAAAAAAAATCACACAGAGTATCTTTTCATGATTGACCTTTTTCTTACTGTCCTTCAGTACAAAAATTTAGTAGCAAACTCTAAACCATGTGAGTACTTGTAAAGGACCTTAGCATTTCCTCTAACCCCTTGCTCACTGAGAGACTTACTGCCTTACAAGTGAACTGCCTTTTCAGCTCTGCTAGGCTGTTCACTTCTCACCAAAAAGATCTTGTTTTTGATCATCTCAAGACTGGTATGTCGGGATGGTGAGAGTAGAGTGTAGGGCATATGTGTAAAAAGTTAAAGTGTATTTTTATTTGTAGATAGCTATCACATAAATTATAAAGAAGAAAAAAGATACTAGAATGGAACCTGCATAGATTTATGCATTTAATGGCTAAGAGTAAACAGTGTTCCTTCGTATTATGGTTAGTGAGAACATTACCATTATAACAGGATATTGTGATTATTTAAAATATGCCAAACTTAAGTAATCTGTGCTTTAGAAATAACTACATTATGTGGTAAGTTGAAAAGAATTCACATGAATAACTAATTCCAACTATACACCTGTATATAAGGAGTCAGAAAAGCCTGCATTCTGTAAAAATCAGAGGTATTAAAAATGACATAAATTCTAAACAAAATGCACATTGTATAAAAAGGGACATTTATAAGATTGGCTTGCTGTGTCAAATCTGTGGTTTGGTCCACAAAAAATACACACTGGGTGGTGGGCTCTTACATGTAAAGTGACTGTTGCTAGCCGGTTAACTTTATCAAATATAATTTTATGGAGGCATAAATGTGAGTAAACTTAGTACGTATTATGGACTTCTTACATCACTTGCAAGTGATGAGTAAATGAAAAAAAGATAAAGATGAGCTGTGGTCCCCAAAGAGGTGGGTCCAGGCTGTATGGAATGAACACTGATAAAAAGTTGAGTTTCTGTCTGACTTCTTCAGTCTTCCTTGAGGTGGAAGGTGCTAGAAAGGTACGGAAGTTCTGGTGGGTAGGGGGAGGGTTGGTGCTTGAGGAAAGTGACGATATTGAAAGTCTTGACTGATGATGGTGCCATTTTGGACAGTTTTGTGACTCGTCAACTGCCTTGTGCAGGTACTCAGCTGGAGAACAGTTAATCCGGAAGTGTGGTTTTACTGGGAACATTTCAAAGCATAGTAGGATATTGTGGTATTCAAGTTATTGGTAGGAGTGGCTGAAGTTATTTTTTAGTCTTGGAGCTTCTCGTCTTAGCATAACATTGGAAGTGTTGAGAAAAGTCAAGTTAAAAACACGGTTTTCTCCCCTACCCCCCCCCCAAAAAACAAACATAAACTAACTAAACTCATAGAAATATCATTTTATTCTACTGCATATAAGAAGATGACCTTTGGAGCTCAGAGTACATTCAGTATTTATTGACTTTTAAGTGGCAACTTTTCCATTTTGACTCTAGAAGGAGAACTCTGCTTTAAATTTTTTATCACTCTTCTTTATCCTATCCTTATAGATTAAATATCCCATTTAAAGTATTAAAAAAATTAAACATAAGATTCAGAGACCCAGGTGTTTTAATCATGCAACTATCTCAGGTTTCATTTAATTTTTTGATTAAGTTTTTGACCTTTTATTTCCCTTTAATTACAGTTGACCCTTGAATAACACAGGCTTAAACTATGTGTATCCACATATATGCAGATGTTTTTCCATAAACATAGTATAATATTATATGTTCTCTTCCTTACAATTTTATTATTATTTTTTAAAGATTTTAGTTATTTATTCAACACAGAGAGAGAGATCATAAGTAGGCCGAGAGGCAGGCAGAGAGTGACAAGGAAGCAGGCTCCCCGCTGTGCAGAGAGCCCGATGCGGGGCTCAATCCCAGGACCCTGAGATCACGACCTGAGCCCAAGGCAGCAGCTTAACCCACTGAGCCACCCAGGCGCCCCATTCCTTACAATTTTAATATCATTTTATTTTCTCTAGCTTTATTGTAAGAATACAATATATAATATAAGATGCAAAGTATGTATTAATTGACTATTTTATGGGTAAGGCTGCCAGTCAACTGTAGGCTATGAGTAGTTGAGTTTTGGGGGAGTCAGAAGTTATAGGTGGACTTCTGACTGGTCGGGGCACTAATCCCTCTGTTGTTCAGGGTCAACTGCATGGCATTAAGAAATCACTCATAATCTAAAATACTATATCGTATCGATGTTTAAGATGTGCTTGTTCTTTCTTGTGTGCTCTAATTCTTTTTTTCCCCCACTGTCTTTTTATATTTATTTATTTATTTATTAACATATAATGTATTATTTGTTTCAGGGGTATAGGTCTGTGATTCATTAGTCTTACACACTTCACAGCACTCACCCTCCCCAATGTCCATCACCCAGCCACCCCACTCCACTCCAGCCCCACACCCTCCACTCCAGCAGCCCTCAGTTTGTTTTCCAAGATTAAGAGTCTCTTATGGTTTGTCTCCCTCTCTGGTTTCGTCTTGTTTCATTTTTCCCTCCATTCCCTGTGATCCTCTGCCTTGTTTCTCAAATTCCACATATCAGTAAGATCATATGATAATTGTCTTTCTCTGATTGACTTATTTCACTCAGCATAACACCCTCTAGTTCCATCCATGTCACAAATGGCAAGATTTAATTTTTTTTTGATGGCTGCATAATATTCCATTGTAGATATCTATACCACATCTTCTTTATCCATTCATCTGTTGATGGACATTTAGGTTCTTTCCATAGTTTGGCTGTTGTGGACATTGCTGCTGTAAACATTCGGGTGCACGTGCCCCTTCGGATCACTACATTTGTATCTTTAGGATAAATACCCAGTAGTGTGATTGCTGGGTCATAGGGTAGCTCTATTTTCAACTTTTTGAGGAACCTCCATGCTGTTTTCCAGAGTAGCTGCACCAGCTTGCATTCCCACCAACAATGTAGGAGGGTTCCCCTTTCTCCGCATCCTTGCCAACATCTGTCATTTCCTGACTTGTTAACTTTAGCCGTTCTGACCGTTGTGAGTTTGTGTCCCACTGTGATTTTGATTTGTATTTCCCTGATGCTGAGTGATGTTGAGCACTTTTTCATGTGCTCTAATTGTTTTATTTTGTTTTAAGATTTTGTTTGTTTATTTGAGAGAAAGAGATAGAACTACTGATGGGGAGGGTTAGAAGGAGAGAAAGAGAAGCCTACTCCCTGCTGAGCAGGAAGCTAGAGGATTGAAACAGTTATTTACAGTTGCCCTGATGAGCAGCGTTTGTTTTTTTTTTCCTGATAATTTTTTTTTGTTTCAAAACAATTCATTGAGTTGTACTTCTCTCCTACAGGTAATATTTACAGATTTTAAGGTTGTTAACGTTTTGGCAGTGTGTAACATGCCATTTGAAATCCGTTTGCCAGAATTCACAAAGAACAATAGACCTCATGCCAGGTAGGTCTTTGCAGAATCTAGACAACTTACCAAATTTGTAATGACTTGTCAGTCTGTAAATATTTATATTAATTGTGATTTTTTTTTTTTTTTTTGGTATAGTTATGAACCTGAACTTCATCCTGCTGTGTGCTATCGGATAAAATCTCTAAGAGCTACATTACAGATTTTTTCAACAGGAAGTATCACAGTAACAGGTATTTTATGATATTGAACCCAAGCTTATGGTCAGTTATGGTTTGAATGAGGTGTCTATATCAAAATGGAAATAATGTCTCGTTTGTCCCCTTCAGTCACTTCTGCTCCTTAAGGGGAACCAGTCTCTGGACTTCTAAAACTGTAGTTTAGTTTTCCCTACTTTTATATACTGTTTTAAAATCGTAAACAGCTATTTTAGGTCTGTCTTCTTTCACTCATTATTATCTTAGTGTGAGATTCATCCATATTATTCTATATAGTTAGAGATCATTCATTCTTATTGCTGTGTAGTATCCAGGATCTGAATTACACTGTCCATAAGCATTTGGATAGTTCCCAGTTTGGAGCTATTAAGAATATTTTAGTATATATTTTCATAGTGTGATTTTTTTTTTGGTTTGTGATATCTTGCATTTAAAATATTCAAGAGAAACCCATTTTATAAACTTAATAGAGAAGAGGTTTTACATAAGTAAAATAGTCAAATATCATTGGTAACTGTCATGTCTCATATATATTTTGTTCTGTATCTCTTGAGTCATAAGTATTTAAAAGTGGTGGTTTAAGCAGCTAGGCATAGAGAGCATTAGCACACAGGATGGCTTAAAAGGTACTGTATTTATAAATGGTACAGAAACATCACTTAGGAGTCAGACCCAATCTTTGGCTGAATTGAGTTCAGGAAAATTTCTTTGGTGTTCTTGAATTTTCTTTGTACTCCTTCACTCCTTAGAGGAAAATACACATTATTGACACCTTTAGACTCTCAACAGAGGTAAGCTTAGTTTTGATTCATCCTATGGGTTTTCACATCTTCCTTGGAGACTTTTGAAGCCTACTGCCAGCATCTTGCCTGAATCTTAAAATGGAGTGACAGGGAATAAATCCATGTGTCCCCTTCTTTCAACTGTCTCTTTCTTTTGGAGCCCAGACTTCGGAGAAGCCCCAAAGTCTATCAATCAATAAGTACCTATAAATCTATATTTACTGAGTTAATAGATAATTAACATAATAACAAAGAGGATAATTGGATTAATTAGTATACATTACATATTTACATCTGTAACATCCTATGAAACATTAACAAGTCAGTGAACAGATTCTGAGTAGTTTCCACAGGCAAAGCACTAACCTGTGTTGGGGAGGCGAGGGGAATCAGGAAGGAGCAGACCTGGATAACACGTGGTCAGTACCTTCAGAGAGTTCACAGTGGGTACAATATGTATGTTTTCAGCATCTTTCAAAAGAATTAAGTGTACTTCAGTGAAACTGTTTTTATTCAAAATAAGTTTTATGAAAATATTTCCGTTGTCTCTTTTTATGTTTCTTTTTAGCTATTTAAATGGAAGATTACCTTTTTAAAAAGTTATCCCAAGCATTATGTGGATTAATTCACATATACTCTCACCCCCTTCCTGCATGTGTGTTTCCCTAATTTACTGAGTAAGCTGTGACGATGAGTGGCCAGATGAATATTAAACATGTGGTGGGTAACAAGTACTAGTAAATCTGGGTGGGGGGGCAGTTTAGACCACTTAGTTAATAACAGCTCTCTGGTTTCCCAGTACTTTGGAAGCAGCTTTGTCTTCTTTACTGGGTTCCTCAGTACTCCTGCGAGCTGTGAGCATCAGCAGTATCCTAACCAAAAGCCAGGCTACAATGACCAAGAGGATAGTGACCAAAATGTCAGTCCCTTTCATCATTTCTTCTTTAATCAGCATCTAACAGCGCTGTCAGATTTTTATATTTATATATATACTGTCTTCACACTGCCCTAAAACGAGGTGAATAATAGCATTTTGTGTTTCAGATTTCCTTGAATTGTTCAGAAAAAAATGTTATTCTGTTGGTTTGTGTTCTGGCTGTATAATTGTGTAAAGTGCAGATCTTTTTTTTAAACAATCAATCCGATAGTCTAAACTATGTGAATGTCTTCCCTTCCGGGAAATGCAAGTTCCTAGCGCTCTTCTCACCCCTTTTTCCGTTATAGGGCCCAACGTAAAGGCTGTTGCGACTGCTGTGGAACAGATTTACCCATTTGTGTTTGAAAGCAGGAAAGAAATTTTATAATTCATCATGTAATTGGTTAGAATCCCTAACTGAGCACCTTTTAAAACCTGCTGCACATTGGACTCAAAACAAAAGGAAAACTGGACCAACAGTAATTGAGGAAATAGACTCTTTTATTCATTCACGGCTACAGTGTAAGCTCCAAGCCCTTTGGATTTTATTTCAAACCTTGCTGTAATATAAAAAGGAAGTTTACAAGACATGACATTGCTGCTTTTACAAAAGGACATTCTATTTATTTTCGCAGTAATTCTCATGTCCCCGTAAGCAGAGCTGTCACAGTGTGCACTACCTTAAATTGTTTCGTTATTGTCATTATTTCTTCCCAGTTTGAGCTAATGTGTTTTATTTGTGAATAGTCTTTTACATTTTTGTATGCTGAATATGGGCACCAAAGAACCTGTAAAAGTTATCTTTTTCAATTGAATGTGCACAAATAAAAGTTTGGAAAAGATCTCTCTTCATTCTGTAACTTTTACTCCCCATTTTCTATTTTAACAAAAATTGTATTCATAATTCTTTTTTCTTTTTAATCTATGCAAGCTTAGACTTTTGCTAAAGTGTGTTGGCTTCTTTTTGAAGTGTATTTTGTAAATATATATATGCCACATGTGTATAGTATCTTTTACTGCTCTTGTTACCAAATATTAAATAGGAATTTTTTTTTTCTTGCAGATTAGAAATAAAAGTATGTATATAAACTCTAGGGAGCAAACTGGAGTAGAACTTTATAGATTAAGCATAATGTTTTATGTTGCTAATTTAATATGATAGAAAATGTTAAATATCTTTTAAAAGTTACAAAGGTGTAGTTTTAAGAAGCAAAACCTCTTACCTACAAGATGGATATGAGAAAGAAGCTGTGATGGTTTGTACCTCATATGTACTTGTGTTATTCTGGTTAAGACTCACCTCTAGTTGTAGGAAAGTAGTAATCTTAGGTTGGTGCTGAAGGCTATACTAAGAGTCTTGTCAGGAGTTGATACATTGTGCTGTTTTAACAAGAAGTGCCCACAAGCTGCCTCTGTGCCACAGTATAATTATAATACAGTTCAACTTGAACTTGAAAGCCATTTAACAAGATAGGTCTTTCCCCTTGCTGTGTCTTATTTAATGGAGCTGAAGAGTGACTATTCAGTATTTGGGATTGCTACTCTTAAAGTTAAAAAAAATATGCATTTGTGAACCACTGGCCCTCTGGCTCACCCAAGAGCCTTGGAGTAGTACGCGATCAGGCTGCACCCATGCCGTACCACTTGGGATTAGGAGTTTAGTAGAACCAACAGTAATTTCACTTAGAAATAAAGCTGAGTGGAGAGTCCAATTAACTTCCTAGTAGTAACTTAATAGAGACAATATTCCAACACAATCTTCCACTAAAACCTGAGTTTTCAAAATGTTTTGAAAGTTTCATGAAAAATCACAATATCTAGTCCTCCATGTTCTGGTTCATTTTCCTTACAATATTATAGTCTTCCAAACCTAGCTTACATACTGCACTGAAAAACATAACCTTATTTTTACTTTTTTTTTTTTTATCCCCTTTTCTCTCGATGCCTTCCCCTGCGGTGCCTCTCACCCTTAAGTCAGGGGGCAAAGGCTGGCTTTTATATTTTCTTTCTTGTGAAAGACTTATGATTTTCAAACTTCTCTTATTCTCTCTCTCCTGGTTTTGTTTTGTTTGGTTTTTGGTTTTTGGTTTTTTGGTTTTTTTTACATTGTGTTTATTTGCTTCATTTTAAGATCCAGTAGGATAGGGTAAACCTCATGAAATATAGAGGATACAATTCAGTAAAGAAGTCACAGGTTCTGGGAGACTATTTTTAAAAATTGAGATTTTCCACTTAGCTTTAACTAACAATAATAAGTAACCTGTTTGGTAATGTTCACAGAAAGAGAAATGGGGGTGGGGGGGACATGATTGTATGGCCAAGGTGTGGATCCAGATATCGTAATATTTTCAGTATTCAAGTAACTTGAGAAATAGGTAATCAGTAGCTCATCAAAATGCTTTCTCAGAAAAAAGGAAGAGAGACAATCTAACTGGGTCAGGTGTCAGGGCTGCCGTGTGAGCATCGCCTGGCGAAGTGTCACGGATAACCCGCTAAACTGAACAAAGCTGGGAAGAATGAGCGCATCTGATGTCTTCTGCTGGCTCTTCACAAGTGCTGTAAATTTTTTTATAATAAAAACTGTGAATATATACATACAAATGATAAGTTTTCCCCCTTTTTTATTTTTGGAAATCAAAAAGCTCTGGTTAAGGGTGTATTGGGTAGAAATTTGTTTGAAGACAGAATTATTTAGTTACATACTCAGGATAGTAAAAGAAAAATACAGGAGTGTTTAAGATACTGCAGTTGAAATCACTAGTGATAAACCTAAGTTTATGAACAGTTTCCTACCCATTTATGATGAATGGCTAAAACAAGAAATTACTAATAATTATATACAGTTTTGAACTTCGAAGGGAACATGTAACAGTTTTGTTAAATATCTTACAATCTGGGATGCTTGACAAAGAAAAAAATTTGTATCAATTACCTGTCTTGATTTTTTTTAAATCATCTCAGCATATAATTCTGCTGAGGATTCATAATAAATTTCTTAAATTGATCCTTTACAGAACACACTTTTCTTTCTCTTTCCAAAATAAAACACAAAAAACATGCTCCAACTTGCATAGGAAATGAGCTGTGGTAGAAGTAAAATCTCAAATCTCCCTTCCTCAGAACTTTCTCTGCCAATTCTCATTATGTAATACGTTTCAGAATCAGGACTTTAAGTCATTCTCCTGAGGCTCTGCTAATACAGTGTCACTGTTACTTACATAGATTTATAGTCTTTCAATTTTGTTATAGGGGAATTCCTAGGTCATGTACCCTCATCAAACTGGCACAGTTTGTTAGGGGCCAATAGGAAAATTCCAGTCTAAATAACAAATGGGTTTTGGCTCTTAGGATTCTCTGTTCTTCAGGCCGGTCATGTTTTATTCTTTTTCAAGTTAGATTATTCATACTTTAAGTTTCTGTGTGTTTGTCCCATAGCTTATAATAGTAATTTAATGGGTCACTACTTAAATAGATCGAGATTATTTATTGTAGATTTTCTGTCATCATATCCAAATTGGGGAAAACACCTCACCGAGTCCCAATATTCAGCTGAAGAGATACAAAAGAGAGCAGTTCACTGTTGTGTGGGGGAAACCCAAGTTCCTGTTACAGTCGGTGACCTCCATTTCATCCTAGAGAAGAACACATGGTGAGGGAACTGTCCTGCTGTCTGAATGTCACTCACTGCATCTGCCGTTTTCTGCAAGTCAGCATGGGTTACAGCTCGTGTGCCATCACCTGAGGTAGTGATAGTCCTGAGGAGCGCAGAGGATTGCAGGAAGCTATGGATAGCTGGTAAGTCATCATGAAAGCCTTCCAAGGAGAGAGTTTCATAAGCTTGACTTAATAACTCACACCTAATTGATTATAAAGATTGGGATCAATCACCTGATGGCCTGACCCTTTCCTAAAGTTTTCGCAACAGGGACAACTAAGTAAGAATGGTCCCAGGATTTTGAAATAGCCCTTTCTAGACGTGTTTTTCCAAATGGTTGGAAAAAATGTTTACTTTTCTCAACTATTGCAGAATTGTTTTAATATTTTATACATAAAATTCATAGAAGGATATTTTGTATTACACTGTAGTTCATAAAATAAGCTGCATTATCTTTGTACTTGTTGAACTATAATTAGGAATTATCACTGAAATCCTAGCCAGGAACTTCTCCTAATCTAGAACATAGGTGCAACTCTCCACGTTGTGTCCCGGTTCTTTTTCACAGAAGGCCCAGTGCAAGTACTGTCACAGTGGGCAAAAACCTGTGAGTTCGTGTTCAGGCCACTGAGATGTCTGGATCATGAAGCCGCAACTGGCCTCTGCACACACATAACCTTAAGGCAAAAGTTGATCGCATTACTAGTTCATAAGTTTCTCAAAGGCTGCTCTGTGAAAAGGGTGTGAGGTATTGAACCAGCCAGGATCTGTTTCACGGGGAGTCCTAGGCAGAGTAAGAAAGGGATCACGGGATCTTGTACCTCCTTTACCTTTCGAGAGGTGAAGGTTAAAGTTTGCCTTTATAATTTCAAGGTGTCTCTAAAACTACCTCCACAACACTAGGGAGAAAACATGGGAGTGGCCAATATGTCTTGGTACAAAGACACCCTTCTAATTGTTGTCCTACTTCACCAACATTTGCAAGGTTTGCGGCCATTAGGTCTCTGGAGAAAGCTGCCTTGGTTGTCCCCTACCACACAGACTTCTACACTCCAAGAGCTGCTCTTGGGGTTTTCTTTTTTGAAGCTGTTTTGGCACTAATTCCTCTTGATGATGACTCATAAAACAAATGTTGTTTTTCACATAGTTCCTGAAAGAGAAAGGCACTAATGAAAATGTCACTCATAGTTTATTGTACTTGGGGAAAAAAAAAAAAAAAAAGTACAGGCTATTATTTTTTTTTTAAACCACCCTGGGGCTTTAAGATTTTAGCCTGCCCGAAAATACGTTTTTACTGCAAAGCCTTGATGTACCATGAAACTCAGTTTTACCCCGAACTTTGGTCAAGCTCATGCAAAGGGTAAGGTGGGGAGGGCGACTTCCCAGAAAATCAAGGCATTCCTACCTGCGAAGTTCAAGGATAGTATTACATAGAACTAATGGAGATAGTGTCCCAGATCCTATTTTATTTTCCTCCTCTTCTCAAACTCTACCAGTATGCCTGTACTGGCGTCTGTGTTGTCTGCCTTCTGCCTTATGTGCTTGCTCCTGCATTAAGAAGTTCTCTTCTATGGGACTATTCCCATCAGTATAAAAATATGCCCTGGTATTTTACGCTTTTTAGAAACAAAGGCCACCTTTGACCCTCTTTCAAAGATCTTTCCCTGTACATTGAACCAGTTACTTGGGCAGATAGAGACTTCTGCTTTCAAGGAGCTTATCTTTTAATAAAGCAGACAAGTTTATAAGCATATAATTTTGAGTAGTAAAAGTGTTAGTGAGAAAAATAAACAGGAAAAAAAATGGAAACAGATGGGAGATGACTATCACACTGCTGCTATCACTCTAAAGAGATGACATTTGATCAGAAACTTTCAAGTTAAGGAGGAAACCCTGTGAAAAACTGGAAACACTGTGTTTCCAGAAAGGTCAGAGCATGGCTAGTACGTGAACGATGAGATGAGCTTAGAGAAGTAGGTGGCAGCCACAGAAGTGTGCATTTTATTTGAAATGTAATTTGAACCACAGGATTTTGAGCTGAGGAATGACATCTTTAGAAGATCAGTCGAACTGCTGGTTCGAGGATAGACTGGGGAGGGCATGGGCTGGAAGACAGTGCAGAGGTTAGTCTAGTCCAAGGAAAAGGTTGTGGTTGGGATGGAGCATGGCACTTGTCGAAAGGGTCAG